TTAAAATAATCGTTAAGGGCTTTTCTAGTACATTTTATAACTCTTACTTCTAAATTTTTATAAAGTGCCATCATGCCCTCAGACCTGCACTGCTAAATTCAACTTTAATAATTTTTATGATGGCAATTCAAAATAAGTGCATTTGATGTTCATTATAAGCTATTTAAAAATTTAAAAAATCGGATATGACACGGAGAATTTAAAGTAGTATCGAAGCACCGCCTACGCAGTGACACGCGTCCTTCCTCACTGTCTTAGCTAGGATTCACCCGTCTGTCTTCGGTGCTGCCGCTCGCTTTTGCACTCATCTTAATTATACTGTTTTATCCATTGTGTACTTCATTTTGTAACCGACCTGCGTATCTTTATTCCACAATAATTTATTTTGTCCTTCCTCTGTGTGCTAGGGATAGTGTGAGGCTCTGAGGATAGAGGATTAAGGTGCAGACCTTTTCATCAGAGTCAGGAATCGACTGTTACTCTTTATTACCTACTATCGTCCAAAGCACATCTCTGAGGAGGAAGGCGATTTCCACCTGTGGCAGGTTAATAATATGGGGTGGTGGTGGTGGTGGTGGTGGTGGGGAATTTAAACGCATATGCTCTGGAATCAGTTAGGCGTAGGTCTAAATCTTGACTCTTGTTTTTTAATTGAATAGCCTTGAGCCAAGATACTTCAACTCTTTAAGCCTCAGTTTCTTCACCTGTTGAATGCAGTTAATGATATATCAGAGGGCTACTTTAGACATTAAAGGAATTAATGTATGTAAAATACTTAGCACAGTGCCTGGAACGTTATAAATATTTGTTGTTCTTAGCTGCTGTTGAGTTAGCCTCCAGCTTGTGGTGATCCCGTGCACAACGGAACAAAATGCTTCCTGGTCCTGTGCCATCCACATAATCAGTTTCAGATGGAACCGTTTTGATCCGTAGGGTTTTTATTGACAGATTTTTGACAGTAGCTCACCAGGCCTTTCTTACTAGTCTATCTTAGTCTGGAAACTCCACTGAACCCTGTTCAGCATCATAGCACCAGGCAAGCCTGTACTGACAAATGAGTGATGGCTGTGCATGAGCAGCATTGACCGGGAATTGAACCCGGGTTTTCTCATGGAAGGCAAGAATTCCACCATTGGACCATCACTTCCCCCTTTATGAATATTAGCCATTATTGTTTTTATTATTATTTGCTTATGGTGGTGATGCCTTACTATTCTTTGTGAACATACCCATATTAAAATAGTTCAGCAAGATGGACCCTTGGGACTTGTTAATTAATCTGCGGTAAACGAGGATATGTAGGAAAACCTTAAGACTCTTCAGACTTAAAAATGAAGGTTAAGGGCCGTTATTATCAGAGTGTATCACATTAGAAAAGATGGCATTAGGATGAACTCAGATTTCCCATTTGTTCCCTGACTAGTCTGTCTTCTGCATTATCAAGCCAGAAAGTTGAAAGGATCAAATCTACAGGAAAGATATGTTTGGATGAAGTAATAGAGCCTGATTAGAAATCATTTGCTTTGTGTCTTCTTTATGATGATGTGGTCAGAAAAACACTTCCACAGATGAGATTAATGATGGTAGAGGAGCTGAGAGATGGCCAGGCCCAGCAGGGAGCACTGATTAGCTGGGAGTATCTGGAAAGCTTCAAAGGCAGGCGAGAAGTTTGTGAAGGCAGGCCAAGGAACCTGGGTGCCAGGGAGAGGAGAAAAGGCCACATGTTCTTGACGGATTGGTCTACAGAATCAACAGATGAGGATTATGAAACCAGAAATACTGTTACCTCCACCATGTAATGGTCCTAATGCTTCTAGTGCATTTCAGAGGAATAGATTTGGGAAAGGAAAAATAGTACATTTAACTGCATTCTTTTTTCTGCTTTTTTTAGTGTTAATGGATTTCCTGATAAGCAGGAACTATATCAAGTATTGAAGAAAAAAAATTTCCTGTTCTCCCTGGAAACACAAACATTGTTTTGAATTTTCATGTTACCTTTCAGTTTGTGTTCACATGTGACTTTCTTATAATTGCATGCCATTTTGTATTTTGCTTTTAAAATTTTAATATTGTCTTGAACACTTTTTGTGTTTATAATTGTTCTTCATTATAATTGTTAAAGCTACATAGTAATCCATGATTTTTTTGGTTCATATTTATTCTTTGGGATAAGTTTCAAGAAAGAAATCGAATAATTGTTTCAAAGGTTTCACCATTAATAGAGTTCTTACTTATGTATTATGGTAAACCTTCTGCAACAGTTACACAGATTTGCAGTGTGTACCAGTTTTACTGTAGCCTTACCAGTGTAGGTTATCACTACTTAAAAAAAATTGGCTAATACAATAAATATAAACTGGTATCACAGAGATCTTATTTTAAAACGGTAAGTCATTGGTTATAATGAAGAATGACTTTTCTTCTGTTGCTTATATTTATTCGAATCCATTTTTGCCTGTAAGGTGTAATTTACATGCATTAAAGTGCACAGATCTTAAGTATGTAGCTTGATGCAGCTTTACACACACACACACGCACACATACACACCATATACGTGTGCACACATGTGCATACATGTAACCACCATCTAGATCCTTTCCAGGATCCCAGCAGCTTCCCTTAGGAGTTCTCCCAGTCTGAACTAAACCTCCAGCCCCCATCAGGAGTGGTTACTGTTCTTTCAGTATAAATGTGTTTTATCTGTTTTTGAACTTAAAATGAAATCGTGCAGTATGTTGCTCTTGTATCTGGTCTCTTTCACTCAGCATTATGGGTTTCGTCAGTATTGTTCTGTGTATCTGTAGTTCTTTTACATTAGGGTAAGTAGTCCGTTTTATGAATATACCACAATTTATTAACTCATCCTGTTATTTTTGGACATCTTGGATGTGTACCGGTTTTGGGTATCAGGAATAAAGCTGCTATAAAAATTCTTGTACATGTCTTTTTGTTTTTGTCTTTGTTTGGTATATACCCAGAAGTAGAATTGCTGGGTCATAGGACATCTATATGTTTAGCTTTAGTAAGCACTGCCACGTATTTTCCTGTTATAGATGTCTAGATGTGTAACATGTCCAGGGAAGGAAAAAGTGTTTAAGGGTAAAATTCCCTCAGATGTGGAAAGGAAAAAGAGTACAATAAACTTTACTTAGTTTTCAAAAAAGTGTTGCTTTATAGTTTCTCTAGTTCTTAGATATGTAGTTTGTAATTTAGAAGCTGTGCACCAGCAATATTTGAGAACCACTGTGAAAACTGTACTGGGCTATGAGTATAGTGAGAGATTTACTGAAAATGTTTTTAAAGATACGCTAATAGTAATTATTTTTTAATCTCTCACCCAAAAGAGAAGGAGAAGAGTACTGGTATTTCCTGGACACTTCTTGTGTGTTAAGCACTGCACCACCACACTTGGTTTTTCATTCATCCTAGGAGGCTAATAATATCAGCTTCACTGTATACTTGGGGAAATCGAGGCTCAGGTCACACAGTTATTAAGTGGCAGAGGCAGCATTTGAATTCTAGCCTGGGTCTAAAGCTGCTTCTTAAGAGCACTGGAGGTGGTTTTTGCACTAAAACACTGAATGGAGGAGAAACTCAAGAATAAAACGAGAGGCCATCTAAAGCAAGTGTAAAATTAGATGCTCTTGGGCATCGTGTAAAATTTTTATTCAGATTACATTTAATATTTTGATTACAAAAGCAATGCATGCTAATCATGAAAAATCTAAAAAAAAACAAAAAAAAAAAAAATAAAAAACAAAAAAACCCACAAAGAAGAAAAGGAAAAGCACCTGTAATCCCACCATCCAAAGATAACCATTTACCTTCTGTTTCTTCTCTCATTTGGATGTACATAATTTTTTAAAACAAAAAATGGACTGCAGCATATGTACAGTTCTTTAGTATATTCTTTTCCCCTTAAATGTGTATTAGGAACATTTTCCCATGGCACAAAAGGGTCTTCTACAGTGTATTGAATATTTGATCTTTTTGAGGTTGTAGCAGAATGTCGTATGGCCAATGGGGCGTTTCTCAAGAGCATGGTTTCCTGACGGTGCATCTCTTAATTTTAGTATTAGAGTGAAATACTGCAGTTTATTAGACCAGTTTCCAATTGGCAGACGTGTAGGTGACTTCTAATTTCTCATTATAATAATCAATGCTGTAGTGAGCATTCTTGGATATAAAACTTGGTGTAGATCCATGATTATTTTCTTAGTATAAACATATTTTTAAAGGAAGAATTGTGTTTTCTCTTTGACTTAGGGAATTGATAAGAGAGTGAATATTAAAATCATTTTAGTTCTTTAAAAAATAATTAGGTAGAAAAGTATAAAAATAGCGTATTTAACTTTTTTGTGTAGTGGCTAACGTGTAATACTATTATAATTAATATTATATTATCATAAGAGGTGAGGGCTGTTGGGCTCACTTTTAAAAAGAAGTTAAAAATGTCCTATTATGCAATCCATCCTCACTCCTTCCCATGTTAACCTCTTCCAACATGTGGTTTGAGTTATGCCCACTAGGAAGTGAGCAAAGCCTGGTCAATCCCAGGTCTAATTAGGCAGTAGTACCCTGTCATCTCCTCCCCTTTCCCCACAGCCAGATAGCAGGACTGAACGGTTCTTGGCCAATTTGGACAACCCTGGACAACTCTAACTCTAACGCCAGTGATGGCATAACCCAGCTACTTGGCTATACAGCTTTTGGTGTCTTGTTTCTTTAAGACTGCATACGTCCAGAAAGCAGTGTTTGTTACGTAGCTTGCAATCTTAAAAAAAATCCTACGGGATTTCATACTTTAATCTTTTGAGAAGGGTACCATGAGAGTGGAATTATAGAAGTTTATACTGTTAGTTTAATAAGAATAATAATTAATTAAAAATGTTATCTGTCGTGACGTATACATTTGATTATTCTTTGCAAACGTTATATTTAATTAAGGTACTGTGGAAAGTGTTTGAGGTCCTGATGTGCTCTTTTATTGTATTTGTAGATCCACATCATAGATTTTGACGATGAAAATAACATTATAAATAAAAATGTTCTCCTCCATCAAGTGGGTGAAATTTGGCACATCAGTGCCAGTCCAGCAGATAAAGGTGTGCTAGCGACCTGCTACAATAAAAGTAAGTGTGTCTCTTCTTAGATATTTGTATGTACCAGAGATGTGTTCCTTTTTCAGCTAGAGGTTTAATGTAAGGTTGGTTTTATATTGCTAATGAATTGATGAATGATTCATAAGATTTGATGATTTGAAGACACAGCATGTACACAGAAGTTGTGATATGGTGAGTGTGTGCAGAAATGATTATAATCCCAAGACTCTAAGAATCAAAACTGGAATCACAGTGGTTCCAGGAACTTTAATACCTTGGAGCATGGGGAGTAATGTGGTGGAGGTTCTTAAATGGTGAAAACAGGCATCCTACTGCATTAACTGGAGCTCTGGTGGTGCAGTGGTTAAGAACTCAGCTGCTAACCAAAAGGTCAGCAGTTCAAATCCACCAGCTGCTCCTTGGAAACCCTGTGTGGCAGTTCTATTCTGTCCTATAGGGTTGCTGTGAGTTGGAATCAACTCGTAGGCAATGGTTAATGCATTGACTAATCTGCAAAAGACCTCTTTAAAGTGTTCAAAAGCAAAGATGTCACCTTGAGGACTAAGGTGCGCATGACCCAAGCCGTGGTATTTTCAATTGCCTCGTATGCGTGAAAGCTGGACAATGAATAAGGAAGACCAAAGAAGAACTGATGCGTTTGAATTATGGTGTTGGTGAAGAATACTGAATACACTATGGACTGCCAGAAGAACGAACAAATCTGTCTTGAAAGAAGTACAGCCAGAATGCTCCTTAGAGGCAAGGCTGACAAGACTTCGTCTCACATACTTTGGAGAGGTCAGTCCCTGGAGAAGGACATTATGCTTGGGAAAGCAGAGAATAAGTAAAAAAGAAGAAGATCCTCAACGAGATGGATTGACACAGTGGCTGCAACAATGGGCTCAAACTTAGCAATGATTGTGAGGATGGTGTAGGACTGGGCAATGTTTTGTTCTGTTGTACATGGGGTCGCTATGAGTCGGAACTGACTCAGCGGCACCTGACAACGACAACAACAACAACAACGCATTAACCAGGCTACTCGGAGAATTTCAGTGACTTTTGCCTCTTTCTTATTGCTTATGTGTAATCATGTTGTTCTTGTGTGTTGTCAAGTCGATTCCAACTTACAACGATCCTATAGAACAGAATACAACTGCCCATAGGGTTTCCTAGGCTGTAATCTGTAAGGGAGCAGATCGCCAGGTCTTTCCTCTCTTGGAGTGGCTGGTGGGTTTGAATTGCTAATGTTCTGATCAGCAGCCAAGTGCTTAACCACTGCGCAATGTAAACGATAGTGCGAGTCTATGGCTATTTTGAAATGCTCTTTAATAACAACTTTTCCATACATATATGCAAGTTGTATGTTAAAACAAACAAACAAACAAACCCAACCCATGGCCGTCAAGTTGATTCTGACTCATAACGACCCTATAGGACAGAGCAGAACTGCCTTATAGGGTTTCCAGAAAGGCTGTAATCTTACAGAAGCAGATCGCCAGGTTTCCTGTGGAGCAGCTGGTGGGTTCGAACTGCCAACCTTTCAGTAGCAGCTGAGCACTTAACCACTGTACCACCGAGGCTCCTTTATGTTAAAAGTTGTATGTTAATGTTCCCTAAATAAATTTCTTTTCAGCCTATTGTTTGGCTGTCCAATCTCTGGGACCTTTTACATTTGTGTCAAACCAAATATCTGTGACACTCACCTACCATGTATCTGCACCTTCCTTAACTCTCTTTCTCTGTCATTGTCAATAACCTGTTTTCAAATTCTGGCTTTGGAAAAAAAATCTCACATCTTTTTCCGTTTTGTAAGCCAAGATAAAGTCTTTGTGTGTTTTTGCTGTATAGTTTCTAAAAATGTTTCCTTCATTTATCCATCAGTGCCAGAATATGTATATGTTTTTTAGATATTTAGCTGTAACTCATTCTCTCTCATCTTTCCTTGGCTTCAAAATTATCATTATATGGGGATTGCCTTCCTTTTTTGTCAGTATGATCACCAGGACATCCCATATCTAGAATTGTATGAACTTTGTATAAGTTTCTTTCTGCTTTAACTTCACATCTCTTTTTTTTTTTTTTTTAGCAGTTCTCTTCCTCAAGGTGAAATACTATTTTGTGAAAGATCTCCCCCTCCCCCCATATTCTTTATTTCTTATTTTTAGCCTTTACTTGTATTTGCATTTCATTTATTGGGAACTACCCCTTAGTGAGTCCACTCTAATTTTATTCTTCTTTCTCCTGTCCATCAGTACTAGATTCGAGCTTCTCAAAAAAGAGGCTGTTTTTGTTACTTTATCTCTAGTGAAAGTCACTTACCACCAAAAGCCTATGACAACTTGATTGTTCAACCCTATTTTCCCACGAGCGTATTTAAAGTAGTAACATAGTTTTAAACTTTTGAATACTCTTTGTTTCAAGAACTAAGGATAAAAATTGGAATCCCTGGATTGTTCAGAAGGTTAAGTGCTCGACTACTAGCCAAAAGGTTGGTGATTCAAACCCAACCAGAGGTGTTGTCTCGGAAGAAAGGACTGGCAACTCTTTGGTATTTATGGTTTTGAGTATTTTTTTTCCCTTTTGTTACTCTGCCATTCCATTTTTGGGTCTTCTGTTTCCTGCATATTGCTACAGCTCCATCACTGCCCCACTTCCTGGCATTGCCATAACTTCTGCCTCCCCATGCCTTGGGCTAGTGTACATCTCCCCCTTTGTAAGGGAGATTGGTAGCCTTCTTTGGTTGGAGATAGCCAGAAGCTTCTACATATGAAAATGAAGATTGTCATCTTGTAGAAAAGTGACTTTCAAACTTTTGTGACCAATCTTTTGAATAACTCAAAGTTAACTGACCTTAATTACCTCTCTAAAATACCTTCACGTTTGCCATACAATACAACATAATCACAGGGGCGATATCTCAGTACCTTTGCTATATTCTCTTGGTTAGAAGCACGTCATAGGTCCTGCTTGCACTCAAGGGGAAGAATTACAAGGTGTAAACAGTAGGGAGTGGGAATAGTGGGGGCCGCTCTAAAGTGTGTCTGCAGCATTCACCTTCTGACCCCCCATGATTCATGTCCCTCGTATGTCTCAAGAGTTCCTCCCATGATAGCCTCAGCTCAAAGTTCCAAACCTCATCATCTAAATCAGATCCATCTACAAGATGAGGCTTCTGGGTATAATCAGTTAAGTACCACCCCTGGGTCACAATTATCTGTTGATCTGTGAAACTAAAGACGCAAGTTAACTGCCCCCGACATACCTAAAGTAGAATAGTGGGACAGGCATGGGATAACAACTTGAGACATTTTCCTTCAAAAGGGTGGATAATGGAAGGAGTCACTGGTCCATGGAAGTTCTGATATCCAGCTGGGCAAACACCAGCTGGATTTGTTGTTTTGGAATCTCAAGTCTGGGAATAATTCTGGACTGGCTCTTGGTTTCATCCCCTGAGTCACCGTTCTCTTTTCATGTACTTGGAATTGAGTAGTTTTATCAGGCTGCTTCCTGCAGTAGAATTTTAGGGGTCTGGTAGCTTCCTTTCATTTTGCAGTCTCTCTGCCCTTTTTAGTCCAAGCTGGCAGTGTTTCCGTCGAAATAATTTTATCAGCAATCTTGTAGGTCTTCAGTGCATTTCATGAGGATTCATGCCGTTAGGCAAAAGCCATGCCCACAAATATTTTGAGAAAATTCCTTCGCTGCTTTCGTCTCCTGTTGAGATGGCCGAGGAATGGCACCTTTCATCCTCCTGGAGGCCCTCTGGTTTGCTTGAGAGGACCTATGAGGCATACCTTTAACCTCTCAAAAGGGACCTTGTGTCACTGAATTTCTGAGGTTTTAGCACAATGTGGTATGTCTTACTCTTAGCTTTTTCTCTAGAGTACGCTTTCCTGACAGTGAATCCCTTCATTTTAGCATCTTTTGCCATCTAGAGAGGCTGAGAATTTTCAGAATCGTTCAGTCCTAGTTCCTTTTTGCCTAACAGTCCGTACTTCTTTTTCTCTCCCTCCTCTCACATCTCAGCTGCTAACCAAAAGGTCGGCCGTTCAAATCCACCAGCTGCTCCTTGGAAACCCTATGGGGCAGTTCTACTCTGTCCTATAGGGTCTCTATGAGTCAGAATTGACTTGACAGCAACGGGATTTTTTTCCTCACATTTTACTATAAGCAGCACGAAAAAAAATGATTTTGCTTTGAAATCTCCTTATGTATAAGATAAACCAACTTCATCTCTTACAAGTTCTCCTTCTCACATAACTGTAGGAGTCATTGGAGCAGAGCTTTCTGCCACTATATAACAAGGATGCTCCTTTCTCCTGTTTCCAATAACATGTTCTTCACTCCCTTCTGAGCCTTCACTGACAGCACCCTTTACAGTCATATTTCTACTCTCTGTTCAAGGCAGTCTAGGCTTTTTCTTCATAGTCCTCACAGTTCTTCCACCCTCTACCCACTGCCCAGTTCCAAAGTTGCTCCCACATTTTAGGAATTTTGGTAGCACAGCACCCCACTTCCAAGTACAAAATTGTATATTAGTTTTATGTGGTGTGTAAGAAATTATCACAAATTGAGTGTTTTAGAAGAGCATACATTTCTTATCTTACAGTCCCTATGTAACGAGTCAGGGCACAGCTTAGTGAGTCCTCTGCTCAGGGTCTCCCAAAGCTGCAGTCAAGATGTTGGTCAGGCTGCATTCCTTTCTCTGGGTCTTCTTCCAAAATCTTGTGGCTATTAACAAAATTCACTTCCTGGTGGTTGTAGGATTGGGGTCTCTCTTTTCTTGCCAGCTGTCAGCGGGGGACTATTCTCAGTTCCTAGAGGCTATAAATGGGCATTTTAAGCTGCTAAGTTTGTGGTAATTTGATAAGCAGCAAGAGAAAACTAATATAATTATCAACCAAAACCAAAGAGATCAAATCTATTGCCATTGAGCCGATTCTGACTCCTAGCGACCATATAGGACAGAGTAGAACTGCCCCGTAGTGTTTCCAAGGAGTGGCTGGTGGATTTGAACTGCCGACCTTTTG